CAACCTGCTTCTTCGTGTCACAAAAAATCAACATGCGATCCACGCGGCCCTCTTGCTCCAACAGGTCGTAGTGGCGTTCCACAAACATCTCAAATGCCTTTGTTGTTCCTTGTTGCACCGCTAGCCGAAGATCGGTTCGCATGGTTGGCATACGAAAGGTCTGGTACGAAGCGTCCTCCGTGCAATCCAGCTGTTGGAGCAGAGCCCGCTCATCTTTGGGGCAAAGCGTGCCAGTCAGGCCCACACACTTGACAGATGGGTCTTGGCGAAGATGGTCCAGCCGGCTTGGGCAGCGAACAAGACTGTCTCGATAGCTGGTGTCCACGAGCATTGTGTGAACTTCGTCCATCACCAGCATGGCCAGACGCTTCTGCTGCACGAGTGTTTGCACCCACCTCATCCCATGGCCAACCAAAAAGTCAACCGTCATGACAATCACTTGAACGTTGACTTGCATGTCACGGCCATCATTCTTAGCCCACTGCGATACAATGTCAGCCTGCTCGAAGCGGCGGCACAAGTCTCTGGCAAGCTCACGAAGCGGGACTACCCACACCACGACCCTGCGTGGCTGGAGGTGAGCGAGTGTACACAGCGTCTTGCCCATGCCAGTCGGGGCCACGGCCAACAGCCAGCCGTCCTGTGCTTCGTGCCGAGTCACAGCCTGTGCCAATCGCAGTCGCGAAATGTTGTCTTCCACGCTTGCCGCACACATTGAGCCAGCCAAAGCTGATCCTCATACTCTTCTTGCTGCGTTTGGTCATTGTGCTGACTTGGCTCTTGCTGCAAGGCCGTCGACGCAGCCTCTTCCACGGCTCGCGGCACGGCAACTGGCATGGACGATTCGGCTGCCTCGACTTCGTCTAAATCCAACCCGGCAATGATATCGTCAATGTCGTCCTCAGCATCAAGGCAGGCTTCAACCTCGAGATCTGTTTGCGTGCCCACGGTCGCTTGCACCTGTGTGCTGGCGTTCCTGACCCGAGACGACTGGATGACCACCTGTTTATGAACCACTTGTTGCACGCAGGTCTGTCCATCCACGGCCTCGGCTTGGATCTGATCCTCTACATCTACCAGCTTCATGAGCTTGTGCCATTCTTCAGACACAAACTGATGGCCGTACTGCGCTTCACTGGACACAAACTTGTGATCGAGCTGCGTGCGGCCATAGACGTTGCGTGCCGTCCTGCCTGCATGCTGGCTTTGAGAGTGTGCCACATTCAACGCCCCCAATGAAGGCTCGGGCGTATGATGCAACACCAGTGTACGCAGCCAAGCCACACTCATGTGCCGCCATGCGCTGACAGTGATGCTGGTTCCAAGAAACCGCTTGGTCACGGCCTGGATGGTTCGGTAGACTTGGCCTGGCCGAAGCTGTTTTTCGAGCTGCATTGGCGCAATGTTGAACATCAGCTCATACGTGCCCTCCTGTGCGACACGCTTGGCCGCTCGTAGATCGTCGTGCTGGTCGTCAACAGAGCCAACAGTGTCTGGCTCGATTGAATCTTCGACCTTCATCGCGTCGGCCTCGAGCTCATCTTGCTCTTCTTCCGTCAGGGAATTGGGATCTATTGCCGAAGACGTGATCAATTCGTCTCGATCTTGCAAGTCATCAGCAAACAGCTCCTCCAGCGGCTTGCACAATAGCAGGTACGCCATCATGACCGCACTGGCCCGCTTGTCCATGTAGTGTGCAGCATGCGACTCGCGGTTGCTGATCCATGTGGTTTTGCCTCGTCGCGCGACAAACGCCAAGCGGTTTCCGGAGAAGAAGACATTTCTGGGGCTGGCGGAGGAGTCGCGATAGAAAAGGCTCGTGTATACCATCGCACGCACGGGGAGACCTATGCACAGATGTATGGTGAAATCTGCGTTGTGTACAGTAATATGTTCGTACGCCCAGACTACCAGACGTACCAGTTGAGAGGTGTGCATATGTCAATGCCAGGCGATTAAACTCTTGCAGGGAGCAGATTCAGCGCAATTTTGATGCTATGCTAAACTTGCCGGGTGCATCAGGCATGGTAAACTCCTCGACTAGCTCTGGAGTTTCCAAGATGTGCTCCAGCAGCATTGTATAAAAGTCATGACCGTCGATGTCCTTCAAATCCCGGCCGACCCAGGACTGAGGGGGCCCGGGCCGATTCGAGTCCAGCAACAAGAGCAGGACAGCATAAACTCGCTTCTCGAGCCCCGAATTAAAGAGCAGCTCCTTGGTGAGAATTTCCGTCCATTCTGGCTCGCATGGCTCGCAGACCAGTCCCAAGGTCATCCACGTTATTGGGGTGCAAGCATCGACGACCTGCCAGAACCCTCTGAAAGGATTGCATCAATGTACTCGACGATGTGCACCTGCTGCTGCCCGTCGAGGAACTCTCTGGTACACTCTGGGTGTGTTTAGCCACCGGATTATAAGTACGGTCCCGCTGACCGTGAGTGGCATTTTCTTTTGGATACTTCCCTTCCTGTTTTCTATCGTTCTCTCCTGTGAGAGAAGTGCAATTGAACCGCTGAACTGTCTCAGCTCAAATAGTCTTTCAATACTGCACGCAGCAGCCAGCACGTAAAAAGCACGCCACGTCGTGCTGCCTCTGTTGAAGCCAAACGAAAAGTGTCAGAAGCCAATCAAGTCACAACAACAGTCACTGAACATCATGGCATGCAAGCACCACGGCACGCAATCACAGGAGCATATGAGCAGCCTGGCCGATGGTTGCAACGTTGCGCATCCTGTGCTGCCCTCCTTGCTGGCTGCCCACATCCTCACCAAGCACCCGAGTCTGCCAAGAAAAAAAACAAACATTCCTTTTAAAGGAGACCTGCCCCGACCATTTCACCCTTTTTCTTGATGTCGCCGACTGCCCCGCCTCTCCCCGTGTCCAAGCTGAGCGCTTGGACTCTCAATGAATTTTGCATCACGAGATGCCTTTCAAAGACACACACACGAAAAAAGAAGGTAGACGATCGTATTCCATTCCTGCTTGGGGCTGAGGTTGCTGTCGGAGGCGCCGGCTTGCTGAAGGCGAGCTACGAGTTTATTTGGCTGAGTGTAGATTGCGACTAGTGTGTCATTACCAAATCAGCTCAGGTCGTATGGCTATAACAAACCAAATGGTGGCGAGGTCTCTAGGATGCGCTTCGAACAGGTCGAGGGAGCCGGTGACTCGCCGTCGCTGTATACAAACATGACTGTCGGGGCGCATCCCTTGCGCCAGTGGAGACCCAGCTTTTTATCAACCCATGCTGCTGTCCACGACGACGTGGGGGTTCACGGCGGAGTTCAGATCAAACCCGCTCGGATCCTCGAGGCGGGGCCATCGTTGTGCATGGCTTCATAATAGATGGCTACTGTCAGGTCCGGGCGGGGGGACATGCATGTTGCAGAATAAACAATATTTTTTTGGGATGCCGGTCCAACTTCTCTGGCCACACCATGGAGCGTCAGAATCTGGTACAATCTCGTGTTGCTGGCCGCATTGTCATAAGTGATATGCATCGGCCACGCCTCGGTGAGGTCATCCAGCGCTGATGACTGTCAGCAATAGCTTCAGCAGCATGAAGCCCCTCAACGGACGCATCAGTGAATTGTCTTTTTCAAAAGGAAGGTCTGATTCTGGCCGAGCAGCGACAGGAGCGTGCCATTGAAACATGATCATACTTGCTGAAATCAATTTCATTGTGCAGACGAAACAGGGTGCGCAGCCGCGTGCTGCTGGGTCATTTCTCGCTATTTGACACACACGCCGTTTGGGGTTTTTCATGGGTCAAGCCCCAGAGGTCTTTGAGCTGGGAGCGATCGTCAAAGAGGCTGCCAAGTGCATAGTAGAGGCCCGTGATGTCGTTGCAGGAAGCGTGGGTGAGGTGGAGGCGGCAAATGGTGATAGCAGGCGAAAGCGGGCTGGGCAGCGAGCTGGTCGAAGAAGCGTTGAAAATGGGGGGTTTGGCGTTGTGTTGACCCAGCCGTGGTATCGGCGCGAAGGATGGGCAGCATCCACATTGGCGTGAAAGGTGGAAAGCTTGAAGAGTTGAGGGCAAGGCAGGTGGCATCCGCGTTCAAATTCGTATGCGCAAACTTCGCCTGGACAATCAAACACTTTCATCAGACCCAAGCCGAATTCAGGGCGAGAATAAGTGAACGATCTTTTTGCTTTCGGGGGCAATGGCAGCTTGGTTTGGCCTCGCGATGATCGTTGATGGACATTGTACATACTTGTGTGCTGCCCTCAGTCCTGTAATGCTTCTTGCCAAGTCCAGTTTCACACGCGGCCCATCTGTGCCACACAAACTACATCATGAGCCACCTACCTCCGTTCCGGCTTGAACCAATTTGCAAGTGCACTTCCTGGGCCACCTCGACAAACGGCAGCCCGTATTGACCCGTAGAGCTAGGCATGGCCCGACGGGCTCCCACGGCAGCGCCTACCTCCCAACGGCATCAAACTTCCATACACTCATGCACGAGGCACCGTGACGTGTTCCTTTGCAAAGCATGTGCGCCTGAATAGCCCGTGTTTATTCGCAGCCAAGCACATCAGTTGAAGACCCCGAAGGCCTCATCCAGGCTCGGCACGGCACGCCCACGCCCACAGGCTCACAGGGCAGCGCCTGGCTCGTCACGTCGTCTAATACCCATGATATCCCGCTGAAAGCAACATGACTGTGTTTTAAATCACATATGTGAGGCTGAGTAACCTATGATCCTTCGTATCCGAGTGTCTCATCAGATAAGCACCTCAATGGCCTCACCCAGGCCCACCAGCTCAAACGGCAGAGCCTACCTCAACAAGGCCACAGACACACTTCATACACCGTCACAAGCGGCGCAAATGCGCCCGTCATACCGCCCGAGCTTCTGAGTAGCTGCAGATGGACCATGCAAAAGTGCTGCCATGACCAAATCCCGCCATGAGAAGAAGCCCGTACAGCAAAGCCAAGCTCGAACCAGCGCTGGGGAACGGCAGGGCGTACCTAAATACGGCAGCATCGCAGGCAAACATCTCGAGAAATTCATCGCGCATGTTTGCTTGACACTGTACAGCATCCTCATGTTTTGTCGGTTGGTCCTTGTCTGGCTGTCACGGAGGCGCGCGTGTGGTCAGCATTTTAAAGCTCAACAAGTCTTAAAGGGCGCGCACGGTCGGCTCAAGCGGCAGCGCACACCTTTGCAGAAGTTTCAAGCTGCCAGTGCTTGTCCAACGTAGCACACATGCAAGTCATTGACAAGCACAAGCTATGACATTAGCCTGCCATCAGCCGATCCTGAAAAATGGCCTAGAGACCCCTGTCAACAAAATTAACCAAAGCGCTTCGGGACGGCGTTTGGTAATGGGCAATGTCCTCACGAGGCCTCACTCACCGTCAACCTGTCTTGCAATCAAGTCATACAGGCACACACGTTTTCCATGACGTGCCAGAGGCCGTCCCGTCGGCTCTGAGCTCTTCAGAACTCAAGGTGCAGCTGCTTTGGCCTCAAGCAAGGGGCGCACGGCGCAAAGCAGCATTCGCCAGGGAGCATGGTAGCCTCCATGCCACGTCTTGACATTAGAACGCACCCAATGTGCTCAATGTTTCTCATAACACGTTTTGTAAAAGCGCTCAGAGCTTTGACAAGAGCCTCAGTGCGCATATCTCCTTGATCCTATCGTAACGTGCCGCGCCCCTGGGTGAGCAACTTGGCGGCTTGCTGGAAAAGCACACAGACACGGATTCTTGAGTGGCAGTGCGTACCAGTTTATCATTTTGACGTAATTCTTCCGCCTCGCCAGGACATGAGTGCATGCAACCGGTGCATCACGTGGCCGAGCTGCTTCTTTGGGGCTGCATTTGCCTGCCTTCTGCGCCTCAGAGCCCCAGGCGCCGTCCCAGCGTCAAAAAAAAAAAAAGAAAAGCCAGTGGAAAGCACATTTGTTCACACCACCATGAACATCCGTTTTAAAGTTTCAATTGTTGTCGCAAAAAATCTTTTGTTCCTTTGATGTACATGTATAAAGTTTTAAATTTTTAAAGTTTTAAAGTTATGAACAAGCTTGTCAGCAAAGTTTTTGATGCGGTCCATGCTCCTTGTCCGGTACGCAGGAGGAAAGGGCAGCAACACAGGTGCTTGCACCACCACCACCATGGTTGTGCATGTGAGCCATCACCACCATCATGATCAAACAGCAGACAATGAAACTACCAGCTGATTGACAAGCACCGCCACCACCCCTGCCTGATAAAGCGTGCGCTAACATGATCCTCGAGGCGGTTGAGGCTGAATTATCACGCAGATGTCCTTGAGGGCGCAAGTTTGAGCTGCTTTGTAGCCCTGCACCGCAGCAGCCTGACGCTCATTTCCGCCAGTGTGAACCGCATTGACTTGCAAGCCTCAGGCTCGGCTTGCTCAATTTCAGCCGTCTGGTCGAAAGTCACGGGTGATGGTCTCGAAAACCGTTTGCTAGTCTCTCGCTTGGGTTTTGGATTTGTCACTTGCTGATGATAGACCGCGGATCGTCAAACGCACGCGCCTCAAACATCTCAAGCTGTGCGCGCCAGTCGACACTGAAAAGGACCTCAACCAAAGCGTCGCAGAGCCTCTTCTTCTCTTCTGCTCGGTCAGGATAGCAACTTGAATTCGAGCCACCCAAGTCTATTGTGAGAAACCAAGGACTCACGGGTAAACTTGACGACCTCACCTTCTGAAATCGAGCTTTAATATGATCTGGGCCGGTGGCTGGCACAAAGCATCTTCAAAACCAGCTCATTTCATCGAGGCAAGAAGCCTGAGAGTGTGAAGCGATCTCGATTGATCCGACGCCTGTTTAGACGACAGCCAAGTGAACTCTCATTCTTCTACAGCGGCAGTCAACTAAGCTTAATGATAAACGGGAAAGGTACAAAGTAAAATGACACTCAGGTCTACCAGACGGTACTTATATCTCGATGGCAGGAACAATCACGATGTTTTACATGTCTCCTTGACGAGCACCGTGAAAGATAATCAAACATCATCGCCAGGACTGGCATCTACCAGTACTCCAATAGCTTCTGGACATACGTCTATGCTTGCAGTCCAATACATGATGATGGTGCTTCTAGAACTTCTTCTTGTCTTTTTTTTGGCTCGCGCTTGTTCCGTTTCTCCTCCGGCGAGCCCCCCTCATTACCAGCTCGTGCAGCGCCGCAGCTGCCACTACCGGGACAACCATGGTCATCAGTCGATGTCATGGCGAATGAAGACAGGACTGTTTTTCGCTCTTTTTCGGTGGTTGTTGGACTGTTCTGCTTCAGACATCTGGCAAAGCCCGCCCTGGTCATTGACTTTAGTCTCTGTTTGCATAGCGATCCACAAGCCCACCACAAGCTTCACATATTTCAATTTGTAGGTGCAGCTTGAGCGGTGGCCGTTTGAGCGGCCTGGAAGTCACAAAGGGTATCTAGGTCGTGGTTGTTGAACAATTGAGGATCCACGCGCCAGCCGACACTACAGAGAACAGCAGCAGCGCACCGCCAGCGTCTGGCCTGCTCCGCATGAATCAAGCCTTGGACTGGCACCACGTGGAATTCCGATGAGAACCAGAAAACGCGGACAATCACATGGGAACCAGGCTCGCACCATTGGAATTTGAAGTTTGGTAGGAGCAAGGAGAACGGGTTGCGCGCAATAGTTCTGCAATTAGCTATAAAGTGATGCAGATTCCTCGGTAAGCAAGCTTGCCTCTGCAATGAGTACCACAAATCAAAAAGGGCCCACCTCCAGGTTGATGCAATCCTTGCCTAGAAGCAGATCCAAGAGTCGTGCACCCGTCTGCCACAGCAGGTCATCAGGTATCAATCGCAGGTGCAGCAGAACAGCGCAAAAGGTACGGCATTGTGATGAAAAGGCTTACAAGATCTCTCGCATCTGGGTCGGCACCGTGACGCAAGAGTTGCTGGACAACCTTTCGGCTGGGATGTCTTGCAGCGCAGGCTAGTTGGAGCGGCGTTTGACCGTCCTATGAGGATCATCAATATTCAGAAACATGAGGCACGTGTTCTTTTTTTTTTCCTTTGTTTTTTGTGGGGGTTGAGCGTCGAGTGTACTGGGGTCAAACAGAAGAAACGGCCATTGAAAGCCACTTGAGTGTGCGAGAAAGGCAGAAGCGCGCTGGCAAGGGATGGGGTGGGGTCCAGAATGAAGTCACGACGTCGGAAAAGGGAAGCAGGCTCAAGATACAACGAAACAGAGCGGGGTGCAGGGAGCACCGACGAAACCCGGACGCAAAACGGGGAAAAGGGATGGCGGGAAGGAAGAAAAGGAGTCAGGGGGAGAACCGACGCGCACGGGTGGGCAGGGTGTAGAGGAGCGAGGGACGGGGCCAAAGACGATGGGCAGCGGGAGCAGGAGCAGCAGCCGGTAAAGGGGAGAAGAGGGAGGGTTAGGTACTGTACTGACGCTGTTCTTGGCTTCAGTTACAGCGCCGTGCTTCAACAGCATCTCCACCTCGACAGCATACTTCTGGCAGGCAAAGCGCAGTGGTGTATTGCCACGCTGTGGGATGATGCAACAGCATGACGTACAGGTACAGCATCATCATCATTACATCATCATCATCATCATCATGTGGGACAGGCGTAGCATCATAGGGGGGCTAAAGGGGGAAGAGGGTTAGGTACGGTACTGACGTCGTTCTTGGCTTTAGCATCAGCACCGTGCTTCAATAACATCTCCACCATCTTGACAGCACCATAGTGGCAGGCCCGGTGCAGTGGTGTAAAGCCACCCTGTAAGATGATGCGTTAGCATGACGTACAGGTACAGCATCATCATCATCATCATCATCATCATCATCATCATCATCATCATGTGGCACAGGTGCACCATCGTAGGGGGGGGGGGGGGTGTAAAGGGGGGATGAGGGAGTTACTCTACTGACGTTAGCCTTGGCTTCAGTATCAACACCGTGCTGCAACAGCATCTCCACCACATTGACACGACCACAATGGCAGACCCAGTGCAGTGGTCTATTGCCATACTGTGGGATGATGCATCAGCATGACGTACAGGTACAGCATCAGCATCAGCATCATGTGGNACAGGGNAGCATCATCCGGGGGGGTGGGGGGGGGGGGTAAAGGGGGGAAGAGGGTGGTAGAGGTACTTTACTGACGTTGTCCTTGGCTTCAGTATCAACACCGAGCTTCAACAGCATCTCCACCACCTTGACATGACCGTGACTGCAGGCCATGTTCAGTGCTGTACGGCCATCCTGTGGGATGATACAAACACGCAGCATATGTCCCATGTTATACCATAACGTCACCCCATCCAGTGACATATTCAGTATCACACAACATCATACCAAACCAGCATACGCACGATAATGTATATAGCAGCATCTCGTATACGTTGTTGGTCCCAAGTGGTCACCAGCTGCAGCGCTTCTCGTGGATCCCCACAATTATTACACGCATCGTACAGCTGCTCTGCATCAACACTCATGGTAACGGTATCTCTCTCTATTCACCAAACCGCTTCAAACCGCTTTCTTGCTTCTCGATCCAAAATCAATCTCATGAGCCCCCTCCAAGTACAACTCGTCTGACAACCCAGAATTTAGACTGGGATTTGACAGGCGCGCCGTTTCCAAAACGGCAGCCGGTCAGCGGGCTCTTTGCTCTTCTCTGTCTGGTGCACCAAACGACTCACCTTTGGTCAACAGTCCTCGATGACAGTTGCGAGGACAGGTGTACTTGGTTTCCCAAGCGCACGTGAGGCGAGATCTCTGAGGCCAACTTCAGTTGAAAGCAAAAAAAATGGCAGCAGTGCTTTCAATCAAAACGTTCTGGCGTCGCCGCAAGGCCCCGACCAAGAGAGTCCCGTACCAAGCACAAGCGATCAGTCACCACGCACACACACACAAAGCAAGACACGTCAAGCAGCCCGCCGATGCCGAGACCGCTGCCAAAAAAGGGCACCACCCAAAAAAGAAGAAGCAGAAGAAGAAGAAGATCCAAAGCAAAAGCAAGCCAAAGAGAGAGGCAAGCTTGAACCAGAAGCAAGCAACACACACACACACACACACACGTTTACACCTTGTTCTTCTTCTTTTTAACTTTTTTAACTTTGGGAGAAAAGTCAAAGCAACAACAGTCTTACAAGCAAATTCCAAAGCGCCGTCAAGCTCCAACGTGTACTGCCCCTTTGCCTGCCATGACAGCTCGCCTGTTACGAGCAGCTTCCAAGGCGCTGCAACGTGTATCGCCCCTTTGCCTGCCATGACCCGTTACGAGCAGCTTCTAGAGCACCACGAAACCGGGGCTTGTGCGTACGACGTGTACTGCCTCGTTGCTTGCCATGACATTACAAGCCCGTTGGCTAACTGCCCCTCCAGTCATATCAATCTTATCCCCCCGCCCGGATGCGAACGACCATTCCTGACGGCGAGCGAGCCAGCTTCAAGCTCATGGCAATGCGCGTTCAAGAAAAGTTGGTCGGACGAGTGCGAGGCGCGCGCTCAATGACTGTGCTTCATGTCCTTCTTCTTCTTTTTTTTTTTTCTTTATTCACGCTCCTGGCTTCTGCTCCTCGGGCGAGGCGGAGTGTCGTGGCATCATCATCATCAGCATGAGCCGTTCAGGCACCGTGTCGACGCCCGCTGGTCACACTGAATTTTTCGGCAATCCTGAGTTCATCGCTGCTTCCAGCACACGGTTGCGGTACGCCTTGATACCACGACGACTGTAGAGGCGGTCGAGAAGAAACCCTTTTCCAGGGGATTCGAGTGGCATTTATCGCGATGGAGCAAGATACTTCTTGAGGTCAATTCGATCATGGAAAGTATTCACAGTGACCAGACCAGGTGCACCGTTGAAATAGCTGCGTAATCGCTCTCCTACCGAGGAGGCCTGGTGGTGAACGACGTTGGATGTGTGCAAAAGCAGTGCAAGTGTCTGGGGGAGCAGGTTTGACTGTACAACAAAGGATCCCAACGAAAACATCTAGGCAGTGCAGTAGACGACTAGTCCAGGGTGAATCTGGGCATTGTCGAACATTATCTCCTCACGAAACGTTCCTTGCGGTGTAGCAATGACAGAATCAAATCTGCAAGACAACAAAACACGAGTCCCATCAAACTGTGTGACAGAACTCGACGACATTGGATCTTGATCAACTTACCGCTCGTTGATGGGTGCATCGGACAGCAGTGGGGGAGCCAGCGCCCCGAAAAGAGGCGAAGAATGGACATAGGCACGGCCGAACATGACTCGCATAATAACGAGTCTGCGCTCGCCGTCGGGTCTAGGCGTCGCATATTGGTGACTCTACATCCAGGTTCAAGTAGACACACAGCGCCAATAAAGCAATGTGAGGACACACACGCTGAACCCTGCAAATCAACAGCACCACCATATTTGCCGGGATGGT